GGCTAGAGGGAAATCCCTCCATACACATGTATGGAGGGGAGAAGAGTTGGTGCCAGCTATCACAGCTGGCACAAAATATCTCCATAAAGTGGATGAACAGTGGTCGGCTGCCCAAAAATGCTATTTCGGCAAAAAACAGTGCCGACCGGCAACTCATTATGCCGACCGGCAATAAAGTGTGCCGACCGGCAAACAAAAGTGCTGATGGCAGAAAAAGACCAGCCGGTGGCCTCCAGCCACTGCCGGTGGTGTGTGGGGGTGCCTTACATGGCATTCCCTACCTCTCAAAGGCAAGATGCAAGTGTTTGGTGCAAAACCAGACACTAAACGGTTGAGTTCGGAGATTCTGAGGCAGGGCACGTGAGCCGAGACCTCCGGGAACTCCAAACGAACACAAACATGGATGATCACCGGGTGTTCGAACGGTGACGTCCAAGTCTTGAGGACGGTCAAAAATGGGGTGTCTACAGGACTCAAGGCTGGAATCTGGGCTTTAGGAGGCCTCTGCTGGCTTGGGAAGAGGAGAGGCTAGTAGATTACAAGCCGCAACCCAAGGATGTGCCAGCACCTAAGGACTTAAGCTCAGATATATGGAAGTGGAAGGCTGACCCATCTGGGGTGTTTTCCGTTGCCTCTGTGTACAAATGTTGCGAAACATCCTTGGGGCCAGTTAGGAATACGGTAGCGAATGTTTGGAATAATTGTGCGCCACCTAAAGTCAAATTCTTCGGGTGGTTGGCTTGGTAAGGTAAGGTAAAAACATCTACAGCGTATTGGGATCTTGGATGAATCTGCAAATGTGAGTTGTGTTTTTTGCCAACAGGAGGTGGAAACCATTCCCCATATCTTGCTCTTTTGTCCTTTTGTTTGGCTGATGTGGTCTCATGTTATAGAATGGTGGGGATGTCAATGGGTTATGCCAAACTCAGTGGAAGGATTGTTGCAGTGGTGATCATTATGTACAATGAAAAAGATTGAGAAGCTGATATGGAAGGTAGTGCCTTTAGCCGTTTTTTGGTCAACATGGAAGCATAGAAATGACTGCATTTTTAATGACTCTCGGCCAAATTTGAAGGATCTTTGTGAGCTTGTTAAAGCAAGAATAGCACTGTGGGTCAAATCATCTCCAACAAAAATGGTATTCTCTATTAATGTTATTGTATTTAACCTCTCTCAGGTTCAATATTGCATCTGTTCCGGAAGCTGAGATTTGCCTATGTGTTATGGTTCCCTATTATTGACATCTCTGTTGGTTTTGGTTTTTATGTTTTGTTTGCCTTCTGTCTGGGGATGTCTGCTGTGTTCGTTTGATTCTGTTATGTTATGGATGAGTCTGTTCTTTTGGTAGTTAATTTTGCTATGGTTGATCAGGGCTGCTGCTATGGTTGATTTCTCAGCAGACAATAACAAAACTATTGTTATCATTCTACTATGGTGTTCCCTATTATTGTCATCTATGTTGGTTTTGGTTTTTATGTTTTGTTTGCCTTCTATCTGGGGATGCCTACTGTGTTCTGTGTGTTTGATTCTGGGCTGTGTCTAGTTGAGGCTGGGCTGCTCATTTGATTTTGTTCTATTATGGAGGAGTCTATTCTGTTGGTACTGCTGCTGATAGCATTATGGGATTACTTTTCCTTGGTTGTGTTTGTTTTGTATGTGGACAGGGCTGTTGCTATGGTTGAACAGGGTTGCTGTTATAGTTGATTTCTCAGTAGGCAACAATACAACTATTGCTACCATTCTGCTTCAGATTCTGTCTGCTTTACTCTGCTGCCATTTTGTCTTAGTTTCTGCTGATTTGGCTCAGGGTGTGTGGGTGATTGTCTGAATTGGTGAAGTTAGGTACATTGTTTGGTAGCACACAAATAATTGTTGTATATCTGTTGGTGTATGCTGTATGATGCTATCTGTGAGCTATTGTTGGTTTCTCACCAACACTATGCTTCGTTTTCCTTTTTCTCTCTTTTTCTTTCTCATCCTATTGATGTTTTCCCATATGTAATGTATGGTTTCATCATCAATATTGATTTTCTTTGCTGATAAAAAACAATTTAAAAAAATGTGAATTTTGGCTAGATGAGATTGTGTTTTTAGGTTATGTTATCAACAGAGATGGAATTTCTATAGACTTACAGACGATTGAGGCAATTGTAAGCTGGCCTACACTGACGAATGTAATGGAAGTCCGAAGCTTCATGGGCTTGCCTGGTATTATAGGCAGCTTGTAAAAGATTTCTCCAAAATAGTTGTACGGCTTACCCAACTCACACGCATAGGACAACCGTTTGAATGGATTAATGGGAGAGAATCTGCTTTCCAAGAGCTAAAGATAAGACTGACTACCGCACCAATGTTGTCATTGCCTTCAGGTACGAGAAATTTTTTAATATTTAGTGATACTTCTTACAAGGGTCTGGGTTGTGTGTTAATGCAGAATGAAAGGGTAATTATCTATGCCTCCAGACAGTTGAAACCGCATGAAAAGAACTACCCAACGCATGGCCTGGAATTGGTCGCAGTTGTTTTTGCTCTAAAATCTTGCTCCATTACTTGTATGGGGCAAAATGTGAGGTTTATACCGATTGCAAGAGCCTAAAATACTTCTTTACCCAAAAAGAACTGAATATGAGGCAGCGAAGGTGGCTAGAGTTGATCAAAGATTATGATCTCCAAATTCAGTATCACCTAGGGAAAGCCAATACAGTTGCTGATGCTTTGAGTAGAAAATCAACGGGAAATTTGGTTTGCATGCTCACTTAATAGAATGAAATCCTGTAAGACTTTGAGAGATCCGAGATTGAAGTAATTTTACACGAGCAAAGTGGATCGATAAAGATGTTTAGATCATATTTATTTAATAGTGTTTGCTTATTGAGTAGTTTTTTTTTAATTTTTTTTAAAACCTTATTTTCATCTTTAGTGAAATTTTTTTAGAAAAATTTAAAAAATTTTAAGCTTTTAGATTTAATTCGACGAGACAAATCAGAAAATTAAATTTTTTTAAAAGAAAAATGAAAAAAGTTCAAAAAAGATAAAAATAAGCCAAAAATAGTGGGTTTTTATTTTTTATTTTTTTATGTGGTTATCTTGAACTTTTCAATTTTTTTCTGAAATTTTTCAAAAAAAAAAAACATTTCTTTTTAGATTCATCTATACAAGATAGATAAGAAAAGTAAAAAAATTAATTTTGAAAGCAAATCACTAAAGACAAGAAAAAAATTTAAAAAAATTGATTTTTAAGTGTTTCCAAACCTTTGGACCAGATTTAGTTTTCAATATAACTTTTATCTTACATTAAATTTGAATTTATAAAACATTTTATTCTCTTGACAATTTTTTTTGAACAATTGTACTAAAAATTTATAACTTTTTTAGGTTAATTATATTTTTAGTCTCCAAGTTGAAAATTCTATAATATATAAATTATAACTTAGTTATAACTCATGGTATATTATTTTGGAAAATTGAGTGGGTGTTATGCGGAGGGCACAACAACTACTGTTGTGCAGTCTTATGGGCTTATTTCAAAACCTGTTTCGATAATCCAAACCGTTCACATTTTAGAATATATCGAGCAGAATATGCCTGTAAAAAATCAAGTTAATTGAACATCGTTAACAATTTCATCGAATTGCATTTGTATCTATAAAAATAAATGACAATTGTGATTTACAATATAAAAATAAATACAAATATGAGTGGACGAAAGAGTTAATGATATCTGATTAACTTAATTTTTTGTAAGTATGTTATACTCGATATACTCTAAAATGCGAACGATTCGAATTATCGAAGCGGACACTAAAATAAGGCTATAGTTCCGCATAATGGTAGTTGTTGTGTCCCGCATAGCAGTCATCCCATCACCAAAATGTAATTAACAAATTTTACAAAAATAAACAAGATTATCTCACTTTTCTATGCTATGCTAATCAAGATCAGGTCAAGACCTCAATGTAAGTAATTATCTCTGGTCAACTTTTGCTCACTTACATTGTCAAACAAATGAAAAATAATAATTATAACTATATTAATTTTTGTAGCATTTTTTAAAAATATTTATTGTATTGACATAGTCCCATATATAAGCCTATTTACAAGAGAGTACGTATCATACTTTCATCATAAGAGACCAAGAAGGATTTGAAAAGAGAAAAGTTAGGGATTAGGAAAAAAATTTTATAAAAATGATCATGAAAGATTTATGACTTTTGGATTACCTTGATTAATGTGTGGTGCTTTATTTTAAGTGTAATCCAAAGATCATAAATCTTTTATGATCATTTTTATGAAATTTTTTTCATGATACCTAACATTGCTCATTTGAAAAATGACCATTTCCTTTGGCCTAAAAAACCCATTATTCATTTCCTCAAGATAATTATGTTGAGAAGTGGGTAGATTGTTAATTCAGAATGACTCCCTCAAATAAAAATATTGGTTATCAGTGGCGACTCTAGGAATTTTTGTCAGTAGTGTCAATCAAAAACTTAAATACCATATATCTTACAGAAAATTCACATTAATCATTATATCACCTATGGAGAAAAAAATTAACAAATTAATTTAAATTCTAAAATTATAAACAAAAATATTTCAATATATTGATACTATTGTTTAAGCAAAAAGACATGTTAATACACGAGTTTCTACAAAAAGTAGACCAAAAAAAAATATGACTTTACAAATAAAATATTTTAAACAAAAAATAGGTAAAAGTTAAAAAGTAAACTTTTTTCATTGGTGGGTTCAAAAGAGTAGGACTTAAAACTATGGGTTCAAAATTATATTTTAATGGGTTCAATTACAAATTTTTTTCCTAAAATCTAATATTTATATAATAAATAAATTCAGCCAGGGGGTTCGGGTGACACCCCTGACCATGCCTTGGAGCCGCGCGTGCTAGCTATTGAAGATTTGACAAGTCTTATAATATATATATATATATATATATAATTAACCAATTCAAGAACCCAATGTCTATAAGTAGACACCTTTCCCATGATAGATCTTTCATCTCGATCAAACAATTACATTAGACGTGTTTTATTATCCTCAATCAATTAAAAGATAACGATGATGAGCAATCACTTTTTTGTAGTCATAGTTGTGTTAGGCTTGGCTTCCACCCTTGTCTATGCATCTGACCCCAGCTCTCTACAGGACTTTTGTGTTGCTGTTAATGACTCTAAATCTGCTGGTATATTCTCTCTCTCTTTAGACTTTCTGGCTTTGCTGTCTCAAACTTCGAAGAAATAATAGAATAAATTTCTACCGTATAAGTTCAGTTGCTTCATGCATGATATATTCTATAAGGTTCTTCAATAAAATATTTTCATTGCATATTGTAATGACTTGTTTCTAACCTAATGTTAAGGGTTGTTCCTATTTCTCTTTCACATAGTTTATTTTCAGTTTCAAAGTTCATAATATCTAAAAGTATAATATAAAAACAATCTTCCCAACTCAACAATAATCAATTTATTTAAATTATTTATTTTGTTGTAGCTACTACAAACGGTGTAAAAAAACCCCATAAGGTATCCATTTAAATTGCAGCTATCAACAATAGTCTATATGGTTCTTTATTAAAATGTTTTTTCAATTATATATGTATATATATATATATATATATATTGATGTATTTCTAACCCAAATGTTAAAGGATCATGCCTAAGCCTAACTTATTTCTCTTTATCCAGTGTTTGTCAATGGCAAATTCTGCAAGGACCCAAAGCTTGCTACAGCAGATGATTTCTTTTTTCATGGCCTCCATGGACTTCGAAACACATCAAACCCAGTTGGATCAACTGTCACTCCAGTGAATGTCATGCAAATACCAGGGCTCAACACTCTCGGTATCTCCTTAGTTCGCATTGACTATGCACCCAATGGCCTTATCGCACCACACACGCACCCTCGTGCTTCTGAAATACTTGTTGTGTTAGAGGGTACACTGTATGTTGGTTTTGTAACCTCCAACACAGACAACCGTCTTTTCACCAAGGTGTTATATCGAGGAGATGTTTTTGTATTCCCAGAAGGTCTCATTCACTTCCAGTTTAATTTGGGAAAGAGTAATGCAGTTGCGCTTGCTGGTCTAAGCAGCCAAAATCCTGGAATAATTACTGTTGCAAATGCAGTGTTTGGCTCGAATCCAAAAATTTCTGCTGAAGTTCTTGCCAAAGCATTCCAAGTGGACAAGAAGGTGGTTGACTATCTTGAAGCACAGTTTTGGTGGGCCAACAACTAGAGAGAGACGGGGGGAAAAAAAATTCTATTGTTCAATAAGTGAAATGTAAAATATGTAATCTTGGTATTATTATGTTTTTAGTTTCAGGTTAAGGGTACTTTGGTATTTTTTGTCTTCTATTGTTAGCACACAATGTAATTTTGATTCAAGATTAATGCAAATATTATCGCTTTTTTATTTAGACTTATATGACATCTGTAGACATTTCATTTTGATTGACTATTACTTAGTCGTTCTTTAAAAACATCACCCGATGCTAAATGTATAAGAAATGATTTGGAACTCTTGATTTGTCAACTTTTACCTGGGACTGGATGCAACTGAATGGACTTAAGCCTAACCAAACAACCTATCCAACCTTTCTAGACCTATTCGAGACATATTGGATCTCTCGGGATTCAATTCCTTTCTTTTTCCCTATATCTCTTGCAAGTTCGAAAAAAAAAGTACTATTGTCTTCCAAAATGGCTATCCCAGAGGGTTGGCCTAGCTCTATGGTGTTGGTTTTGGTTACGTCACTTTATTTTCTTGTTAGTTGATCTTATCTTACTCCATTCTATGGTGTTGGTTTTGGCTACGTCACTTTATTTTCTTGTTAGTTGATCTTATCTTACTCCACTTTTATGAATCGCGCATCGATTATTTAGCCTTCAAACTTATCCTGAGAGGCCTATATACACCCCACCCTCCCTTCCATTATTTTGGGACCCAACATTGAAGATTAGAGTCACTTAATCTTTTAGTCAAGGAAGCTCTCTCTAAAGAGAATCCAAAAGGCTTTTTTGCACTCTTGTGCGAGGCTTAGTCATTTTAGTTCAAAATTTTTGTGTCGAGATTGTCTTAGAGGCATTCATCCAAAGGTGTGTTGAGAGTTCCACTTTGAATATGGAGTTTCTGAGGGTTGCAAAGCATTCTTGCGGCAGTTTCATTGGAGTTAATAAGTTTTATTGTTGTTTTCTTTTCTTTTTTATTCTTAGTTAGGATTTTGATTTGTTTAATATCTTGTTCTTATTTTTATTATATTCATATGGGTTAGCTACTCAATTTTTCAGAATAGTTAGTCTTTTTTTGTTATTGTTCATTAAGAGTTGTGATTTTCTATTTGTTATAATGCTTGAGATCAAACCACCATAGGTTTGGCAACGTGTATTATATTGGGTTCAATCGGTAATATGTTATATCACTACTGATATAGTTATGTTATTTTATGTTTTTCCCTTAAACAATCAAATATAGTATGATTATTGTTTCATTTAGTTAATTAGCAATTCTTTATCTTTATCATGTTGAACTATTTGCACCCTCTTGACCCATTTCATTAAACCTTTTTTCTAAGGATGGATATTTTGTACTTCTTTATTGTCGATGGATTCTTGTTCCCCTTTCTTTCCCCTATTCTTCTTTCCATCATTCTCTGGATGAATTTTCCACATTTTATGAGTTTTGTGGTGAACATTGAGACAACTGATAAAATAGGTTTAATTGGAGTTCTTGACCTAATTTTTTAAAATTAAATTGAACTCCTCTCTTTTTCTAAAAATTGAACTCTTTTCCCTAAAACAAGAATTTTCACTTTAAAACTATTTTTATTAAATAATTATAAAATTTCCCTTTTGAATAAGGTATCCTCTTGGATTGCCTATTCCCTTATTCAAGTTATCTTAGTGTTGTTATATAATTTGTCATCATGTATAATGTTAAACAATTTTAAAACCAAGAATTAAGAAGATGATGAGCAGAGGCTGAACTTGTGTCAACCAAGATGAGTGCATAAAATCTTCTGGTACTTAAGCTCTTGAGCCAAGTTCTTTGGTTATGATGAACTAGTTTCTTAAGGGTTGGAGTCAATATGGGTTCTTGGACCTCAAAACCAAGTGGCAACTGTGGTTTTGAAACATTTGGTTTTTGGTCACATAGCCTATCTACAACAATAAAAGATCCATACAAGTCATATGGTAGATCTAAGTGGGTTTCTATAAAAGATTATTTGACTATTAATCATTGGTTTGTCCATTCAATTTGTGGGTTAATGAAATATAAAAGTTATACGTCTAATTACCCCAAAGTCAGTTGCACTTACAGTATCAAAGTCAAAGAATCTTAGTCATTGATTGTAGTTTGTTCGTTATCATCATCTTTTAAACTTGTTTGTTCTCCAGAACCCTAACATTGCAATTTTGCCACTTCGATTTGTCTCTCTCTTATTACAAAATCCAGTTGCAACGCATCCTCTCTAGTTTGAAACTCCTTCCACGAGCCTACTATCCTCTCTCTCTCTCTCTAAGTTCCTTCATCTGTAAGCCATATTCTCTCTTCAAAGTTCGATCTCCCATGAAACCTTAGATTTAAGGATAAATGTCTTTGAAGTTCTTTCATGAATTGCTCGTAGCAGTCTTCTTGGCTTTTTGGTTAATCATAACCTCCCTTGGTAGTTTTCTTGGTTCTCTTGTTGGTGTGGTTTGCTCATGGCTCATGGGCATAGTTTTTAGTAACTCTGGTTGTAGCCCATTGGTGGTTGTGGTTCAATACTTTTATACAGTAATATGTTCTGCAATATTAGTGCAATTATGTACTATTTCATCATGTCTGAGGAAAAATTGCTAGTTCTTAATATTAGATTGAATAGAAATAATTATTTTTATTGGTTCGATGTAATGAAAAAAAAAATTATTCTTGGTAAATGGAGATGAGTCATATAACAGGCTCCTCAATTTAACCCATCAATCCTAAAGTTGAGAGATGTAACTAATCGACACATGGGATATGGAAAATGCACAAGTGATTACTGTAAATATGCATATTATTATATTATATATATATATACACTTACCTAGCTACACAACTTTATGGACTCAAGTAAAGGTATGAACTTCTCAAAATTTGACACAAACAAGAAAAGCGTGGAATGATTTAAGAGGTGTACATATTAGGTCTAATTTTATCGAACAATATGAGTTATAGATATCCATTCAAAGTGCTACACAGAAAGACAAATCAATTCAAAAATTTTATAACGAGATGACATCTTATTGGGATCAATTAGCACTTATGGAACTCCCTGATATGTAGTCACTAAATAGCTATATGCAATATAGATTAGTATAATTCTTTATGACCCTCAGAGGTCAATTTGAGCCACTTTGTGGGGCTAATCTCCGTCATTGACATTTGCCTATAGTTGAAGGGAATGTTCGAGAATTTATAGTTGAATATATACGATTCAAGGTTACTCAGAGTGCCACTTCATCTTAGTCAATGTCCGCTGCTCCCTCTCATCAACCTCCATTATTACCTATTCCATCTACCTCTTTGATTCAAGTAAAGGGGAAGTATATGCCTTATATTGCTCAAGATGAGTGTAGTTATTGTTATCAAAAAAAGGCATTGGAACTTTACATGCCCTCCCCTAACCAATCAGAAGGGTAGTGGCTCTTTTTAGTCTACCTCATTGTTGTCATTTCATTTCTTCTTGCTTTTCTAGTTTTTCTCATCCTCAAGCAACTCTAACTGCAGATGCTTCCACAGTTGCATTCTACGCTTGCATCCTCAACAATGCCTTCATCTCATGCTTTTGTTATGACTATTGTACATTCAGGTTTGCATGGTTCTCATGCTACATGTATCTCTCTTAATACTTGGATGTTTGATTCTAGCTTTTTTTTCATTATATGACACTAAATCCCTTCTTTGTCTTTGTTGTTCTTATTCTTCTCCTATTACTATTTGTACAAGCAATGTACTCTTATGACTATTGTCTTTATTGGTTTTATTCTCATTTTCTTTTCTGTTACTTTGTCAATTCCATTTTATTTTTTTTTTTATGTTCCTCAACTGTCTGTAGCGATCCCGGTTTTGACCCGTCTCTGTGTGGTGTTCCGGACTCAGGTTGGTATGGTTTGACTCAGGTTGGTATGGTTTGAACAGTGTTACGTATCTTCGTTTCCCTGTATTCCCCTTAATTTGGTTATCGGGTTGTAACGGTATGTTTGGAACAAGTAATGTCTCCAAACCTTTAGATGTGAATCCAACCAGAATTGTACCTTGCAGAGTTGTATCAGAAGTTAATTCTTCCATGTTTTGCCACTTCGTTAAGTAAGTCAAGAATCGAGCTGCCTGGTCAGCTTGCAGGGGTCTAGGGGGCGGCGCCCCTTGGCAGGTCCGGGGCAACGCCCAGGCGGAAATGAGGGGCAACGCCCTCGAAGCAAAAATGCAAAATGCATTCAAAGTTGCTTGTCCGCTCGAGCTGCCATTTATGCGCTCGAGCAGAGAATGCTTGCTTCCAGAAGTTTGACCTGTCTACAAAAGTACTGGGAAAGTGTATTCGACGCTCGAGTAGAGCTTTTTGCGCTCGAGCGGGAGGCTGTGTCTAACACTTATCAGTTCGTGAATATGATATTTCAAATCACTTTTTCAGTTCTCTCTCTCTTTAAAACTCTCCAGAATTTCAGATCTAGAGCTTCTCTCTCTAGAAGTCATCTTCTCTCTTTGATTTCTCTAAATCCATTGGGATTTAGACTTAAGTTCTTCATCAAAGTTGGTTATCATCTCGAGGGTTTCGTTGTGTACGGTGGAGATCGAGTTTAGGCATCGTTGATTTTGGGGTTTCATCTCAATTCTTTTTCAATACTTGAGGTAGGGATTTTCTTAGAGTTATATATAAATATTTACAAGATCTTCATGATTTTCGAAATCATTATTCGATAGCTTTGAAAATTGATTGTTGATTCAAGAAGTTGAGCGATTTTGAAAGTGGGTTTGTCTCTTATTCTTTTAAAATGATCTTATGCGTTTTGATCTTCGTTGATTGAAAAAAATATGATTTCGGAAAGTTTTCTTTCAAAAGATTTGAGTTGTATAGTTTTGGTGAGAAAACCTAGAAATTGAAGATTTTTAAAAGAAATTAAAAATCCATGAATGATATTGTTATATTTATTTTGTGTGTCAAAATAAATGGATGTTTGAAAATTTTATTATTTATATTTATATAAATGATGAATTTCATGAATTGCTGTTTATTTTGGAAATTATTGTTCAAAATGTTGAAATGGTCTTGAAATGACTAATTGTTAAGGATACTTGAGAAGAGGGAATTGGGCTATTCCTTAGATGATGAATCGGAATAAAAGTATTTATATTCATCTTGTGAAATTGGCATATCAATTCATTTGATTACATTAAACTTTGAAAGTTGATTTGAAAACTTGCATTGAGAAAAGAATGTTGAGAAACAAGTTTTTATGGAATGGTTTTGGGGTAAATACATTAGTAAGTCTTGATAGGTGGTGTAAATGATATTGAATAAGTTGGCCTGAGAGTCCGGGGTGAAACACCGAAAACCAGGGCGAATAGGTGTCGAGCCTTCCGGTTAATACCGGTAAAAATGACAACTTGGTATTACTTGTATAGTCTACTTGCAGACACCGACCTACGGATTACCAGAGTCGTATTTACCGCCCTTGAAATAAATTGTTAAGTTTTGAATAATTGAAATTGCATGACATCATTGAGCATGATGGTTTTCAAAAGATGAAAATGTGATTTACTTTAAAAAATGGGCATAGCATGACATATGCATTTCATCTCTTGAGACTTGTATAAAATGTATATACTTTGTTAAGGATTTTCTATTGTGCTTTATGCTTACCCTACGAGATTTTTGTGTAGGAAAAGATGTGGTGATCCCGCCTAACTAAAGGTGAGAAAATATGTGTTGAGAGTACAAGGCTCTCATTTTGCTGTAACTCTGTTTGTAAGCCAAGGGCTGTATTTGTGTGGATTTGAATAATCATTTTGTGTAACCAAGCCTAAGCCTTGGAAACTTGTAAATCCTTTGAGGTATCTATTTGTTTATGTTATTTTGATTTGAAGTGAATGTGTTATTACCTGAAGACTATTTGTATCATGTAATGCAAGTGTGGAGGTTTATTTTCAGTTTTACTTTAAAGAACCATGGTTATCGTATTATCATTTGGGTATAAAAATTAGGGCGTTACACTGTCTATCAATTTATTATCTATTAGTCAATTGTCTAATTATATTTTTTACATTCTTTTTTCTTTTTCTAATTGTGTTGTTCACGATTGGATGTCTAAGAAGCTAATTGGGATTGGACATAGTATTGGTGATTTATATGTGATAGAGTGCTTACATATTTGCTATGAAGTCTCTATAAATAGCTATGTCTTCATTGGCATTTTAGGTCAGGTGTGTTCAGTAATTTCAGTCAAGTGTCATGGGCAAACTGTCAATTAGACATATTTCTGAGTGTAATGGTCAGAATTTTGCAAAATTGTCTATTTTACCTTCTAATCAAAGCATTTCTATTTTCACTTCTTCCTCGCTATTATTCATACTAATGTGTAGGGTTCTTCTCCTACTATTACTACAGATGATTTTGTGTAATATTTTTATTTATTGATGACTTTAGTCATTTTTGTCAGGTATATCTTGTGTCCCATAAACCTAATTTCTTTTGTATTTATTGCACTTTCATTCTGTCGTTCAAACTCAGTTCTCTATAACCAAAAAAATTCTTCATTTGACTTAGATGATGAATATTTTCTTATAAAGTTTACTGATTTCTTAGATGCATCCAATACCATCTATCAACTTTCTTGCTCAGATAATCAAATACAAAATGGTAGAGCAAAAAGGAAAAATCAACACCTCATTGACACTGCTAGATCTCTTCTTCTTACATCTTTTGTTCATGTTTCACAGCATCCTATCTTCTTATAATATGTCCACTCTTCTTCTCTATAATTTTTCTCCATACCAGAAATACAGTTTTTAGTGGCGTTTGAAAAACGCCGCTAAAGCCTTTGGTGACGTTTTTATTATACGTCGTGGATACAGCCGTCGTTATATGTTTGCGACGTTTAAAAAACGCCGTTGTAGACCTTATTGCGACGTTTTAGAAACGTCATGATATAGTCACCATCGGTGATTCCTTCCGGCGAGATGACGTCATACAGACCCTATTGCGGCGTTTTTACAAAAACGCCACTAAAAGCACCTTTTTCTTTTTTTCCTTTTGTGTTTCTTTTTTTCTGGTGGCAAGAATGCAACCTAATGAAATTTTAACCATTCAGCACTAATATTTTATTTGCTACTAGTTAAAATTCTCCAAAATATATTCAAACCCTGTTTCAAAAAATATATATATTCAACCAAACACATCAAAATTGAAATTACAAAAATCACAACCAAATTCATATACTTCATCATCATCTCAAAATTTAAAATACTAAGAAAAGAATAAATGTTTCAAAAAAAAAGTACAAATATGATTGATACACAACACTTTGAAGCATCAATTTCGAACTTCTTCAACTTTGGAGAAAAGTTTTCCAATTTTTTCTGAGTTCATAGAAGTTGCATTCCTGTTAAAAAAACAAAAAAAAACAAAAAAAAAAACAAAAGAAGACAACATTTCACACAACTGAAATGTGAAAAATATTAGAGATGAGTCACAATCAAATCACCTTGTCCAGCCAAATTGCAACATATGATTTAATCCATAAGTTACCTGCAGATATTTTGCTGCAGAAATTTCGGAGAAATACAAAACACAGAACTTTAAAAGAAACTACACAAATAAATTAAAAACTACTCTGTATTTTTGAGTCATGAGTTCTATACATTTTTCTGCATGTTTTACCCTATGTAGCTAAACCCTATGTAAATTTTAGAACTTGATTATATATATAGATGCCAACATACAGATTTCAACTAATCAAGTTCATAAAAGCCATTCAGAGTGAGCCAAAACCATAATCCGATGTAGAACAAAACCCTACATGGAAGAAGATTAAAGGAGATTGAAAAATCCCAAAGAAAAATTACAATTCAAGTGCGCAAAAATAAGACTACCAAAATGAAAATCAAATGAGAAGTATTGGAGATTAAAGGAGATATATCAAAGAGCTAAAATTCTAGTCTTCATTTGACCAAACTGAATGTGAACAGATAAAGAACTATTTCTTAGCTGTTTAGGCAGGGCTTTAGATCAACATATAAATAAATAAAAAATAAATGAAGAAGACAGTTATATTACACAAATACATATATATATATGCGTGCGTGTGCAAGTGCGTGCGCATGTGTGAAATTTCTAGCAACACAATAGCACCAACAATCTCATTAGTTTATGATGCAAATAGAAAATATTCATGGATTCCTCTCTAATTGGTCTCAAGTATATCTTCAAAAAGAAAAGACAAGTACAGACAGATAGCCAACCATTGCTTTAGCAATTAATGGGCCTATTGAGCACATTTAAACCAAAACATGAAGAAGGAAAAAACATTCCAAAACAGGGGCCACATTTTAATGCTTTAACAACATTTGAAAATATGTTGACAGGGTTTCCATAATCTAGCTGGAAAACAACCTAAAATAACCTTCATTTAGCAACAAGCAAAGAACAGTGAACGTATTAGAGAATCCCAAAAACTTCACAATGATATGGTAAAATGCAAGACCAAATGACACTACTAGGCTTGCTCAAACTCAACATTTCCTAATTTTCTCAGGTTCCAAATATCTCATGTCTTCTCATCTCTTATAGATTCCTAGTATTGATTTCCCTATGCTATGCAACGAGCATGAAAATAGTGCAAAAATGAAACTACCTCCAATGGCAACCCCTCTGCGAACTCTGCGACCAAAACAAGCAATAAGCTTCATATATATATATATATATATATATATATATATACATACAATACACTTGAGAGACATATCTTAGAGTTGAATGAACAAAAATAAAACACTAGTAAAAAGTAATGTCTTGTGCTCTGTTTGGCAAAATGAAGAAACAAATTCAACATTGAAGCCAAGAAAAAAAAAAAATCCTGTAAAATAGAGGCCAAACCACAGCTTGGAGCTTTAAAATCTTGATTTTCAATCAAAATCTCCAAAAACAAAGTACAAAATCAAATGCTAATGAAGGACTGGTTTTGCTTTTTGTGAAGAAGTTAATCCGAAAACGGAAATCAAATTTTTAGTTGATGAAAAAATATGTGATTTTGATTGAGTTTGCATAAATGTGCTTGACGTATCTTAACTTATCTTTTGGATCACGGTGACACTGAAAACATTCGTTTTTGACCTAGCCAAACTCGATTGAGCTCTTCAATGGCGGTGTATGGACTGAAGCAGAGATCGAATGAGCTTGAAATTGGTCTACTTGAAGCAGAGATTGATAAGGCTGAGCTGTTGACGAAAGACACAGCACCACGCTTCAAGCCCCTGAACTAGTGTTCAGTGATACCGAGGTTGTTGGATGCAACTCTCAATCGGCAGCAACATCTCTCTATCACCACTCCATTCTTTCCATTTGCTGCTGATCAAGAACTTTATCCCAATGCGTGGACCATAAAGAGGAAGAGAACGAAAATTAGAAGAAAGAAGCAAAACACAACAAGCAAAAGTAAAAAATACTAGATATCAACCAAATCGAGTGAAGAAGAAACTAAATTTACAACCATCAACGTAAACACATTCCAGATCCTTACTTTTTAGCCATAAAACTACATAGATCTTCGATGAATTCAACAAATCCCTTACCTTGAGCCATGCCGCATCCAAACACGAAGAAGAACGAGCCCTAGATCGATTTAGATTACAGAGATTCGAACAATAGCTAAGATAAACGCTCAAATCAAATACAGAACCAGCTTTTCAAGATCAAGATGACGAAGAATCGATCCAGATCGAAGCACCAAGTGTCGATCCCTCTCTCTCTCTCTCTGTGAAGTCGCCTCTTTCTCTCTCTCTGTCTCTGATTGACTTAGATTCCCACGACTCTTAAAAGCAAAAAAAGAAATTTAAAAGAAAAATAAATACTTTTTTCTAAACTAAACTACACCGTTTTAACCATAACCCAACGTTTCAAAAACGTTGTCGTACCATTTTCCGATGACCGGCGTGTAAAAAACAAAAGCGTGTCTTAGATTTTCCATATTTTACAGCGTTTTAAAAAACGCTACTAAATAAACGTTGTTGTATCCCTATTTTCTTGTAGTGATATAAAAAGTTTGATTATGTTCCTAATTATTCTTTATCATGTGTTTTCGTTTCCACTTGTTTTGTTCCTTTTCCTAAACTTGCAATGGAGATAATCTGAAAGGGGTTTTACCTACTTGATCATGATACATCGTAAAACATAATGCATTCTACGTTTTCAATTCATGCCTAAATGAACACATACCGGAAGAGATTTGAAGCCATTATTTTGAAATATGCGGTACACCAAAAAGTTTGAGCTTATAATTTTTATTTATTTTTAATTGAGTTGAGTTAGTGAAAACTTAATAGTGAATTCAATTTAGAACTATCACACCCAATTTAAGGATATGATTGGTTATGTACCTCGAAGTAAATAATACCAATACAAAGTAATGGCATAACGTTAAAAATAAAAATAAAACAAAAAACAAAAAAACAAAAAACACAATAATGTAATCACCTAATGTCAAATATTAAATTGAAATTTCTAACTTAATACGTAAGGATGCCTTACGAGGTCATTTCAGTGGGAAAGACTATGGTACCCAAAAGTGATTATCGGGTACCATACGTGAAAAAAATTCTTAACCATTAGATTTAGTAGAATAATTTGAGCCATCCAATATACAACATGTTCACCGATTATACCCCGTGGAAAGCAAAACTAAACACTCTCTCTCTCTCTCTCTCTTTTCTTCAATCACTGGTAATCAATTATATGATTTGATTAGGTCGGTTTTTCCAAATTTATAAAATGATTTGTAGGTCTCACCTAAAAATATTAAAATAAAGCGTTGTTCCTTGTAATTTGTGGTCAGATCACTCTATTTATTATGATTTGAATATAATTAGATAATTCCCATGTGATTTTGAATTAAAATATCACTATTAATTTTTTTTTATTCAAACTAACGGAAGGCATTTTACATATATCATATTTTAGATTGAACTTATTTTTAAAAAAAAAACAATTAAGTGAAATTAACACAATGAAAAGATAATTTCATCTCATCTTCTCCAAACTTAAAATTAGATTAAAATGTTAATAAAAATAAAATATAATTAAAATTTGATCTAAAATATATAATATAATTAAGAATAATTTGGGGCATTTATTCATAAATCATTTTTTACTTATATATGTTCCACTTAGTCTAAATTATCTTTTTATGTTTTAATAAGTCCGGTCGATGACATAGTTATCAAAATACCACTCATAATAATAGGGTGAAATGCGCATTAATGTTCACATTGACATTATGAATATTTCATGATATGAGCATTCATACTATCAATGTGAACATTCATATTGTCAAATTTATTTAATGTGAATTTTTAGATCACCAAGTTGTTAAGGGTTCAAAAAATATTTGAAACAGTAAATTGTCCATAAAATACCTTAAATATGATAATTAAGATTTGGTGGATCAAATGTATAAAATAATAAGATTTATTGGAATATAAGAATATTTGATGAACTAATTGAGATACAAGTTCTTGAAAGAAAATTTTCTAATAAATTTCTCATTAATTTAAAATATAATTAAATTAAATCTAAAATAAAATATATAATGATTAAAGATCGATCTAAAATATAATCTAATTAAAATTAGATTATGATGTTAGGAATTATAATAAATATTTAAGAATTTAATATTAATTGTGATCTAAAATATAATATAGGTAAATTAAAATTAGATTACAAAGTTAGAAATACAATAAATAATTAAGGATGTAAAATTTGTGAGTTTTATCAAATAATTAATGAAATGATCTGGATTTGAAATTTAAAAAATAATAATTATTTAAAACTAACTTTATTATATTTATTTTGATGTTTATAAAGTTTAATTATAAATTTATTCTTAACTTTATATTTATGGGTTTTAATTTCAATTTCAAGTATATATTTCTGTAATAAAATAACACTACATTTGATTTCTTACACTTTATATTGTGTTTTAAAAAATTAAAAAAAAAGTAATAATTAATGAAACAAAAAAACAAAATGTGGAGTGGAAATTGCCAAGTATGGTATGTTAAACAATAATTAAAAAAATAAACAAGATGTTAGCATAATTTCTGTTACCTGTTGAAACAATAATCCCTTGAAGTTGTCATTTTCAATAGTATGGGTTTATAAAATAGTAAGTTCTCTCATAGTAAATAATAAGTGTGGTATGTTGTAATAGTAAGCTAATCTCATAAATATTTTATTAAAAATACTCAAAATTACCTTATTTGTGGAATCCACCGTAATTTTCTAACCAAATATTAATTATTTACTCATCAATAGTCAAGATAATATTTTTCCAAATCCAATGATTGATATTTATTCATTTGCCATACCATAACATAAAATCACAGAGTTTTCCCATTGAGCAACTCCAACGACACTCTTTATTTTTCACTAGCTAAAGTACAAAAAAAAGTATACTCTTTATTTTACCTAATTACTTTAGTTATTGTGTTCTCCAACCACGCTCTTTATTTTAAGTAATCATTTAAACTAACTTAATTCATTTTTAAAATAAAAAAATACTAATTGTTAATATTTTACTAATATAAATTTACAATAATAATAAATTTGCCCATACAAACATATAAAACCTGTAGAATGAGGAGAAAAAAATACAAAATACAAAATAAGTTATTCTATAATTCATCAAACAGAATTGAAAGAACATATAAAAGTGCTACACACACACATATATATATAAAATATATAAAATCTCAAATCCAAGACATAAATATACAAAAATCTAAAATATATACATACATAATTGTTTGGAGAGCCTCTAGGGCTCTTCAATTGTAGCCACAAAAAAAATAAGATGATAAACTAACTAGCCCAATAACTAACCCATTAAAGCTCAAAGTTAAATTTACATTGATTAAAATGCCTAATAAGCCTTGTTCAACTATCCCCTTAGAGATGCTTCGTCTCCTGGACTTTAAATACTCACTTTAAGGTTAACAACAATGACGAGGTCAAAAACTAATAATAATATAATTTCATTAGTTTATATAGTCAAACCTATCAAATCATGAAACTATTTTTTTTTTTTTTTATCAATAGTAATTTCTATTAAAATAAGATATGCCAAACGACACTTACAAGGAAATCAATCCAGCAAAAAAAAAGTTACACCAAACTAAGGAATAATACTAATTCAAAAAATAAAAGAACAATTCTCAAAAGTACTAAAGAGAAGCTATGTATATATCAAAATGTAAAATTCATACTATGAAGTAGAAATCGATCATAACAATTTGACAATAGAATAAATTTAAAATAAATACATAGACTACATCCACATAGAAGATAATCATGAAACTATTTGATTATCTTAAAACGATGCTTTTGAACTTCTCTGGACTAGTAAATTTCTTTAAACAAAATCACACAACATAATGGAATTCAGTTCGTAACTAAAAACCATAAAAATAAAAACACAACCATAATATACCATTAAAAAATTAATTAAACTCTCTAAAATAATAAAATGGAAATTTACACAACTTTCCAATAATACATGCATGACCCATTTACACAACCTTTGCTTTCTATATATTGGCTAATAGAAATTTCGAAAATGAATTCTACAATTTACCAGAGCTATATATAAATATATATGTATGTATTTATAGCAACTGTACATTTTCCACGCCGACAAATCTATGCGAGGCTGCAAGGAGAGCTGCTCCGATGCCTGATCCATCTTCCGTGACCTTAAGAATGACATGTGAGGAGATATCTTCCCCTAAGATTTCAGTCATGGCTTCGTTCAAGTATTCTCTGAACATTGAATTCTTTGTATACAAGCCCCCCTCAATTGCCACCACCGTTCTTCTTATCTCACTATGGCTTCCAACTTTGATTCTTCCACTTGTTATGCTGCCACTCCCATCCCGACCAATCTTCTTCAAGATCCCCACAATCCCAGCAGCTGCCAATCGGGCAGCCCTGCGGGTCACCACATTACATACCTTTACAATAAGCTTTCGTACTTTCAGAGGCACATCAGGAATCTGAAATTGGAGTTGAGAAAAAACACCAAACAATGGGAGTATGCAATGACAGAGTTGATTGGAGTAGCCAAGTGGCAACAAAGGCCTATTTGACGCAGCCTTCGTCAAGTTGAAAGTGGATAATAAATAAATAAACACAGAAGTTAAAAGCACATCTTCTCCAGCTTCCAGTAATCATATTTTTTCAATTTATTTAAGTTATTTCTACCTCATAAACTATAAATAGAAGTGCCCATCCAAAAAATAAAGAAGCTATAAGAAGTTGTGCACCAAACATTCTAGCACAGACTCTCCAAAATAAAATAAAATAAAAAAGCTATAAGCTACACCAAACAGCCCCAATAAGTTACCTCAAGAACGTCATTCAAGATTCTGGCTACTTCCCTCAAGTCAGGGGATTCATCCTCCTGCATTACAGCCATCTTTGGTGTCCTGAAATTATTTTGAGGCATTAGTGAAATAAAATTAGTTATTATAGATAAAACCTGAGAGTCCAGCCCCAATATATACCTAAAAGAAATATATAGCAAAATAGAATTCACAACTGGTTACACTAGAACCCAATTGACTAGGGATATGCATTTTTTGGTTGACCATTTTAGTTACTGAATGGTAAGACTTGATTAAAAAGTATAGCTGGGGTTCATCAGTATCCAGCATGTAAAGCTTTACAATCGAAGGCCCATTTGTTAATAAGGTAATGAGTAACAAAAACCCAATTTCCCCAGGAAAACGATGAACCCCACCACAAATCAAAGCACATGAGATGTTAAATAAAACGGTATTTCTTAACGTCCAGGGGATGGAATCACTCGCTTCTAATATCAGCATTCTCAGTAAAATGGAGGGCATCTAAGTTTAACGTACAAGAAGTTGAATAGCCTGGCTGAGCGTCAGCTGCATCTCATTCCATTTTGCGTTTCTTTCTTCATTTTTTCCTTTCTCTATTCAAAAGAAGAACAAAGAGACAAAGAAAATCCAAGTCCAAAAACCATTTCTGTTTGGATCATGATCCAGGAACTAAAAGGCAATCAATCTACTTCATTTCTCAAATTTTTATCCATTTACAGCTCTTTAGTCAAATTAGGCCGCCCCCACAGTAACTATCCAAGAAGCACAAACACTTCTAAGAATGTCGCATGCCTATGTTACTTATTTCCAAAAAGCAATAATGAAAATGAAAATGATTGAATAGTATTAGTTACCTCTAGCATCTATGTTACTTATATCTTTTCGCATGTCACATAAATCGCAAAATTAGAATGCAGTGAATCGACTTCATCACTTTTAACTTAAATTCAATCTAATTATATTTTCATCATGTCTTTCAATTTTAGTAAATGTTCCCAACTAAATACACATTTCCTTCATTTTCCATGCAGCTTGAAACATTTCTTTTGTTCCCTTTTTGAGCCATAGCTCCCTAAATATCGCAACTGAACCATGTTCACAACTTCATGTCTAATAAATCCTTGGTTTTTTTTTCCCCTTTCTTGGATTGACCTAGTGCCCAGCCATTTTTTAAATGTTATGATTTATGGGGAATTGTTCAAAATATCTTCTACGAGCCATTCAATAGATTTCAACCAATGAACAGTCATGTTGACTAAAAACATGTACAGCCCAAATGAGACCAAATGTAATTTAGATTTCTAGAAGCCTAAAAAAGGCAAATCAACGACAATTCTAAAGAGAGGCAAACATAAGTGGAATTTACAAACCCAGAAGAAACAAGACGATTAAGTTAATGGCATTTAAAGCATTTGCAATTGTACCAAACTGTGTAAATAATTGTCTCAAATATCAAATTAAGTGTGAGTGGGAGCATTTTACATGCATGTATGAGATCGCCAGTAATATGCTTTTAAAACACCTAAGCTGACGAGTAAGAAGTAGAAGATTAAGAGAGAGGGCAAATGGAAAGAAAAAAAAAGAAACTCACCCTAAAATAAAAGGCACTGATAGTCTAGAAGATACATGTCCAAAAATATCTGACTCCTGTGACATCCGAAGAATCACTCTTCTTACAATGTCACCCAGATACATTCCTGATATCATTTTCTCAAAACCCTACAGCAAGATCCTTATGATTGTGTTATTTACTGGAAGCCAAAGAGGAAAAAGAGGCTGGAAAAGTGGGGTACTAAGTGAAATTTAACAGCAATTTAATCTTACTTGATCATTGGGATTTGGGCTATCGGCATCTAAATCAATATCATACAACGTCCTGGGCAGATGAGATGACCAGAAATTCCCCCATTCCATGTTAACTACCTGGTTAATAAAATATAAGAGCACAAGTAAAATCAGCTATCCTTCCCCAAATTTAACCACAAATGATATACAACTGGAGAACCCAAGATAGGATACCATGAATCCTGAAGTAGTAAGCAAGCCTTGACATTTAATAATAGCGTCTGCCCGCTCTAAATAGCATGCATTTGTACCCGTCCCAATTATCACTGCAGCAACTGTGTCTTCGTCATGATAATGTCCAAGTGCTAATGTTCCCACAGTATCATTTACCTGTTTAGAAAGATAGAATTAGACGCATATCTTTGGTCAAATAGATAGTTACAGTTATATACATAAAAGACAGCAAAAAACACAGGTACAAACACACATCTATGTTTGTGTGCGCACACATATATCTCTCTGACTATGACTACTATTGATGCCTCGTGAGGGCCGATTTCTACAAAAACAGAGATCATATGCTTTCATGAACTTTCACCGTGCATGTAGTTTCTATGACTACGACTCCTATTAGTGCCCAGCAAGGGCCAATCTCTACACAAACAGAGACCAAACAGTGGGGTAACAACATGCCATAACTGAAACAGAGATAGAGGAATCAAGGAAAAACTGTCTACGCTAACTTAAATCACAAATTTACCGGTGAGATCAAACTCATCGCCTTATCATTCTAAACACAATGTGGTTACAGCAGAAAGAAGATGATGCATAGTAGTATCCGCATGACGATGGTCAAATAAACAACAAACTGAAAATATCAGCATCCCAACTATTAGGATCATGTAAAGAGAGCATCTGTTCTATTTAGTCTTATCAAGACATGAAAAACACATATGCCCTCCAGAAAGTACCTTCACTGAATCACTGAGCTCTTCGAAAAAGTTCATAATATTAAAGAAAAATAAACAATGTTCTGGCTGAAACTAAGTATTCTATCAGCTAGTGAAAACACTGGACAACTACAAATAATAACAGTAACAAGAAAACCTCATAAAGTTTTGAAAAGGCATGCACTGAAGAAAGAAAACATTTGAAATATAAAATTACACTTTTTCTTCAAAAAAAACAAAAAATCCACCTTCACAAAAAAAAAAAAAAAAAATCTTCTCATATGCTCCAGGCTTATGTTCGCAGATCAATTCAGTTTTTTTCTTTGTAGTTGTGCAGTCAAAGATGATACTGCATATCAGCAGGTGGCTGACATACTTTTCCAGTATTTTTAGATTAAGTTTAAAACATGTAGGATTTGTCATTTCCAGATAAATCACTCAATGGCAAATGAGAACCTGATAACCAAAAATCTTCCAAAAGCCAGAAGTTGTGTAACCCCCAATTCCTTATCTGATCACATACTGGTAAAACTTGAATTCAGACATCCATTAATAATTATTGAAGACCGATTTCCAAGAAAATAATAATAAGTCGAAATAAGTTGTACCTAGTTGTCATTAATAAAATGTAATTACAGTGATAAACACTTCTATATATATATATAAAAAAAAATTCCCTCAATAAGTTGCATATCAAATATGTGGTTGATGGAAAAAGGTATGCAAATGATGAGTATTATTAGATAGCATTTTTTTACAAGTAAATATATCATTAAAGATAAAGAGGTCTTGATCTGGCACGAGGACAAGGTATTATATGCCCCCGAACCTTCTAGCATGGGTTCTAGTTACTGGAATCAGCCTCTCTAAGAAAAAAGTTGGGAGAAAGTTGCCTACCTACTACCTCTCCCACGTGCAAAGTAGCCTTCTGCACTGGATATGATTTTGTGAATGTCACATTAGAGAGGCAATAGGAGATGCAAACCATTTACAAAAAGGAAAGGTAAAAAGCCTATATAAACTATACATCCAACTTTACTCAATCGACTCTACTACTGCATATCATTTTAGCCATGTATCATATAAACGCAATACTGCTATGTTATAAAGGACAAATTCACAAACCATGATATTTGATACTAAATTATTGCCAGGCCACACATGGATGCAGGTAACCTACGTGACTGATTGGCAGCCTTGACACCTTTAAGGATTCAAATAATACAAGTGCCTAGATGCCTATAAGGCCGCCATTAAAACTATGATAATAAATTATTGAACATGCATGAGTAAAAAAATATGCAATAGAAGATTATCCCTATAATTAAAACATGAAAAATATGATATCCTACATTTTCAGGATCCTAATGATAACATTTCGGCTCATAACTTATCCTTCTTTCAATGTATTATTGTCCATTCTTATCTTACCTATGTGGCTCTATGTTTTCAAGAAAGGAATCAATAACAACCAGAAGTCATGGTACACATGATGTTTAAATTAGTTCAAACCATAAATTTAAATTTAAATCATAATATACATGTTAAAACAATCTGCTTGGTTTAACTTTTGAAGTTCCTATTAGATGAAAATAGAAAAGGAATTGGCAATAAATAAACAAAACATGCTATTTTCCTTCTTAATCCTTTGCATTCCAACACAACAAAAAGTTTAATCAAATTTTGAAGCCATTTGCTATCCAATATGTATACTGTATATTGTGAATAGTTTACTATGGGAGATTTTTTTTTTTTTTTTTTTTTAACAAAAAAAAAAAAAAAAGAAGTATGCTAATGTACGATTTATTTTTCTCCTTTAATAGTATATGTATGTTGCTTTTTTCTTTTCCTTTTTTTTTTTTTTTTTTTTTGGGTCCGTTAATGTATATATGGTATATATATTCTGACATACATTAGGTATTGATTTCCTAGATATATTAGATATTGTCATAATTAGGTCTCTTATAGGATACTCTTTCTCATAGTTAGATTTCTAGTAGAATACTCTTTCTTAGCCTATATATACAAGCCTTCTATTATTCAATACAATAAGTATTATTTTTTCTCTCTCTCTACTATTCTAAAATGGTATCAGAGCTAGATTAAGAACCTAGTAATTTCACTTCATCGGCACGCGGCAGCCTTGCCTTGGCCGCTCGCCGGACCTCAACCTATTCTGCTACTATATTTTCCTTTCAATATCGTTTCGTGGTGATTTCTTCCTCTATCCGCTAATTTATTCCTACCCCAAATATCTCTATCATATTTTTTTACTCACAATCCACTTTTTTGTGTGTTTCTGCTCCACTTTGTCTTTCCCTCTGTTTCAACCTCAAATTGATTTCTATCTTCAAACCTATTTGAGTTTGAGGGAGGGTATTATACCTATATCATGGTGATACACCATGCAAACCACCCAGGTCGCCTCCTTGGCGCACACTCTAAGCCGCCCCCTTTGGTGCACAATCCAAGCCACCCCTGGCGCACTCAGTTATCTGTTGCCATCATCGTTCAGCCCCACGCCATAAGTTATTTGTGTACCACACTTGTTGGTTCAACATTCAGTTCTCTACATCGGTTCGGCATGACTCATTTAAACTGTCCCGACAATGATTCCGGTTAGCTCTTACATCGGTCCAACATGACCCCTTTAAACTGTCCTGACATTGATTCCGGTTAGCTCCTACAACGGTCCAGCATGACCCCTTTAAATTGTCCTGACATTAGTTCCAGCCAGTTCCTATAATGGTCTGACACGACCATAAACTGTCTCTCGGCATTAGTTCCAGCCAGTTTCTATATCAGACTTTAAATTGTCCTGGGCATTAGTTTTAGTCAATTCCTACAATGGTCCGACACGACTATAAACTGTCTCCCGGCTTTAATTCCGACCTTTGGTCTATTTTTAGCGCCCTTGCGCTCTCGTTCAGATTTTGCAATCTATTTGCCTTTTATTTTATTTAGTTTTATTTCATGTTTTAATTTCTCTCTCCAAACTCCAGATGTTTATCCTCCTTGAGTTTGAGGGGGATGTTAATGTATATATGGTATATATATTCCTACATATATTAGGTATTGATTTTTTAGATATATTAAGTATTCCCATAGTTAGGTCTCTTATAAGATACTATTTCTCATATTTAGATTTCTAGTATGATACTCTTTCTTAACCTATATACACAGGCCTTCTATTGTTCAATACAATTCATTCAATACAATAAGTATTATTTTCTCTCTCTCTACTATTCTAATATGGTCTAAAAGGTTACCCATGTGAATTTTGATTTTCTACATTTCATAGATGTATCATTTGGATTTTGAATTCCCCCCAAAAGTATTAGACTGGAAGTAACTTTTGAACAATGGTGCATCCATTTCTTTACTTTTTGTTTTTCTTATTCTTCAAAGTTAAAATAATTTGAAGGGCTCTTTATTTTGCAAGAAGTTTTGAGAAAACAATCAACTAATGTTAGGGTATCCACCTCTTAAAGAGATGTATACCATATGCAAATTATGTATCATTGCGGTGTTGATTATCTCGCAAAGTGATGTTGATTATGATTCAAAACTTATTAATTGGAAGATCCTTTCCACCCATTCAAGTGTGCAAGACAAACACCAAACAATCAAAGAAGAACATCAATGAAACAATACAAACAATCAAAAAATATCAGAAAAGGGTTGCAGTGGTAGAACATAGCATTATTTTGTGAAGTGGTGAAAGGAAGTGTAGTGAAAAAGAAGATCAGAAAGCATGATGACCATTGGATAGGCAATTGTCTCATACATATACCTTAGAAATTCAGAGATATTGAAGTGAGATATGAGAGAAGTGGGATGTGGGGAGTTTTCAAGCAGTAACATTGAACTTCAGTTTCTCTCAATTAGAGAGTAATGTGGAATTAAAAAGCAGTTAAGTTAACCTAGAAACGTGAATTAACAAATTTTCCCTTTAGCTAATGAATATCATAACTCATTAAAGCAATTTAGAAAGTGACAATTACAGGGCGATTTGAGAAAAGAAAAAAATATAAACAACACTAAAATCAGAGTTCACGCCAAATAGAGTCTTTTCATATATTAGTATAGATATAGTTGATATAAAAAATAAAACAGAAAGAGGCTTCATTGAGCAGATCACTACAAATTGCAAAAAGTACTCATGTATCCAGTAGTAGTATACTAAGACAGCAAGATCACTTAGAAGGGAACTGCTTACAAGGGCTGCTACCCGCATATCTAGGCCTCTTTTAGACATAGCTTGCTGTAAACATTCAGAAACATCTCTTCCAACCTGACAACAAGAAAGTTTCACCAAATAAATCTCCACTTACATTAGTCTCTTGAATAAATCACTAAACCAATTCCAGTTTTATATTACCATAGTAAATATTTTCTTTCTCTTGGTAGAAAGCATTTTATCTAATTTTCAATTATTAAGACCATAATTTGAAACTAGTTATGCATATCTAATGTTAGATTATAGTCAGCACAGTTATAACTCAGTTCAGCCACTTGGGTTGAATGGTTCAACTGCTCTGATCTGAACCGATGTGGTTGAAGGGGAAATAGATTCCACCCTTACGATCAACAAGAAAGGAACTTTTCCTAACTATTGCTTCCTATAGGCTAGGACATAGCCCTAAATAATTTGGAGTTTCCAGAAGTAGATATTCTTGTTAGATAATCAGTCAACTAACCGTGTCTCCAATGGCAAAACCTTTTGTCCATCTGATTAGAATGCCTGATGAGACAGACATTTGTTTTACAGGAAACGAGAATGTAAATCCAAGTTCCCTACTTTTGACTTCTGGTAGTTCAGAAACTTCTTGCTTTTCTACAAACTGCTTCAGTGAGGAGGCAATAAAATCAAAGAGATCCTGCCAGCCAAACAAACCAATTTCAATAATATCACTACATAAAAAAAATTGCAAAATAATGCTCAAAAGTAGCAGGCAATGAGGTACACAAACTCAGACACCTCGCTTGTGCTTGTCATTAGATGTTGAGGAATAGGTTGTTGGTCCACATCATATTTACGAATAGCTGAACAATCACCTCCTAGCGCAACGCGCAAGACCCTAAAATTAGTACCTCCAAGGTCTAGCGCATAATAGGTTCCCTTCTCGCTCCTGAAGGATTTTCAGACTTAATCAATTATACGTTCCGAAAAAAGGGGCAGAAAGGGAAGAAGCTAAGTAAAATAGGTTTTGACAGCTAGCAGCATTAGAATTGAGAACAAAGCAATTTAAGTTAGCCTATAAAAAAATCCTCAATAATATGAACATGACAAAGATCATCTAGAATAATTTATTTCCCGTAATGGTCCAAAATGCAATCCTATAGTTAATAACTGCCCCTCCCCAGTTATCACAGATTTGAAAACCACAATTATTATCAACAGGCAGACCATTGTGGAAGTACCAGAGTAACCAAATCTAATTAATAAATTGAAACATTAACTACCCAAAATATGAATATGACTGCATTAACTGAAGGTAAGATTTTTCCAGATATGATTCTAGTAGTAAATGAAACTATTCAAGAACAAAACCTATCAAAAACAACCAACTAATCCCACATGTGGAGCCCAAGACAAAGAATTGACAAAATACACCATAATCAAAAAAAAAAGAATAGAAGGAAATGGAGAAAAGAACCACTATAATGCTACTTTCCAGATGCTTAAAGTTTCACACCAAAAAAAATCTCCAATAAAGCAGCAGAAAGATTGATCCATCACAGTGTAGAATGTCAAAACAACAGTCGACAAATTATTCTAAAACTTCAAATTAAATAAAGTAATGATAAAGTGGTCCATTAAACCTGTATACTGTCCATACGAAAATCCCCTTTAATCACTATCATGGAAAAGAACCACATATAACAACAAGTATGACACTAAAACACAAGGCATAACCAAAAAAGAGTCCATACAATAATAATGCACAAACAATCAAACTAGGAAGAACCCCAAATAAGAAAGTCAAATTTAAAACAAAAATTGGAACAAAGATCAAACACCAAAATCACCAACCCAAAACAAGAATCGATCTCAAACATGCACAAAATTTAAAATTGATAAAACATATATAAATAATATGGTAAGGAAATACAAAACCCACAAAAGAAAATCAAATTTTACAATTCATTAGCAATCAAAAATCAGAAATGCCGCTGAATTTCGATTCATTCACTGTTATTATCGTACCAAAACACAAACCATCGAATGAAAACGCAAAACAAGCAAAACCCAGGAGAGAGAGAGAGAGAGAGAATGTTGAATATGAATACCCATTGGGAAGCTTGTCGACGAAGGTGAGAAGCATCTTGAGCTTGCTTCCACCTTCAGAAGCTAACCCTGCGTGCATTTCAACAGCCATAGCATCAACTACTTGTCTCAGACGGCCCACCGAAGTCGAGCAATCCTCCTCCAAATCCTCCAACACCGCCACCACTTTCTTCCACCTCCGCAACGTCTTCACCCTCCGACCCACCATCACCGCCGCGATCGCGCACGTCGCCGCCGCGCAAATCACCGCCAGACTCAACCCCACCTTCCCCATCTCTCACCACCACCACCGCCAATCAACCCACTCACGCCATCAAAACGACGGCGTTTCTCGATTCGAAACTCCTCCTCATCGCTCCGAGCACTTCTCAGACGATTTTCCGGCGAGACTCGCCGGAAAGCGGTGATGCAGACAACTTGCTCGATGAAAAGTTGAGAGAGAGAGAGAGAGAGAGAGGGAGGGGTCTTGGCACTGGCAAGAGTGCTGGAAAGAGAAGGGGGTGTGGTGGGGGTACTTATACTGATGATGTGAAAAGACTGATTTACCCTTAAATTTTAGATTTCTAGCCATTTTATTGTTGATTTTTAATCAATTTTCATCGTTATAATTGAAATTACAACAATGATTCATCCCCTTTTCTTCCCACCCCTTTGACCCCTCTCTCTCTTATTGGTTACATTTTCTTTTTCTTTTTTTTTTTTTCCTACTCCTCCAATTACCACCCGCCACGTGACAAAGGAAAGTGAGGAGTGACCCCCAAAAAGGGATCCCAAACATTATTTTTGAAATTAACACCATTTTGAATTTGTGTCCATACTAGGAGGGTCCACATAAGCTCTCTTGTAAGTCTGGTGAATGAAATTAACACCAGGAAGGCCTAATATTATGGTTTTGCCATTGGCTTTTGGTAAAAGTTGACTTGGCTTCCACCTTTGACAAGTATGGAAGGTATTTATTTGACTCATTGATTTTGATACAAGTTCGTTTTGTTTGGAAAGGTAAAGTTTAGGGGTGGTCAGCCATATTTTAAATGAGCGTATATTTAAATTTTTTGTATAAAAAAAAAAAAAAAGTGAGTAGAAAAGTAAACAGAAAATGTTGATAGATATTTATAGATGTTGATTGATGTGATCCAAATAAGTACATGTATGTAAAAAAATGTACTTCTTAAGTGCATGCCAAACACCTACTTAGTCAAAAAAAAAAAATTTTTGAACGGAGTCAAAAAAAAAATTTAAAATCATTCTAAAAATCATTCTTTTTTATTTTAAGACAAATTATTATCAGGTCTTAATGATTATATTAATTTTTATTAAGTTTATTAATTTGTTATTGAAAGTTGGTATTAACATAATTGTCCAAAAAAAGACTTTGTGTAACGATTTTTTAAATTTTTCACTAAGATATTTATAGATGTTAATTGATGTGACCCAAATAAATACATGTATGTAAAAAAAATGTACTTTTTAAGTGCATGCCAAACACCTACTTAGTCAAAAAAAAAAAATTTTTTTGAACGGAGTCAAAAAAAAAATTTAAAATCATTCTAAAAATCATTCTTTTTTATTTTAAGACAAATTATTATCAGGTCTTAATGATTATATTAATTTTTATTAAGTTTATTAATTTGTTATTGAAAGTTGGTATTAACATAATTGTCCAAAAAAAGACTTTGTGTAACGATTTTTTAAATTTTTCACTAAAAATAAATAATTAGTGACGTTTAATAATTATTAGCGACGTTTTTTGACAAAATTTTTTTATATTGTCACTAAAAACTAACAATTAGTGATTTTTTTTTTTTATAAAAGCGTTGCTAATTATTACAAGATTTATTCAGTAGTAAGTCTATCTATTGAGACCTATACATAAATCTGCCTTTATTTTACACATTCTTTTGTAACAAAAAATTTTAAAAAAAATCAATAAAAATCAAATTCTTAAACAAATTCTAAACCTCGTTTGATTAATATTTTTTTAAAAATTAAAAAGTTAAAATACCATATTATACATTTCAATCAATCATTTTTTCTTTTACAATTATCAATTTAATTAAAAAAATTATTTCAAACACACCAATTTTTTTCAATTAATAAAAAACTACTAAAAAAATAGTTGCCAAATGGATAAATAATATCAATTGACTCATTGATTGTAGCCTTTCTAATAGGGTAGAAGTATGGAGTGACTATTGGGTGCTACATCATTTATCATTTGATATTTGTTAAGTTATTTGCTACAATCCTAACCAAAAATATTGAATTGTAAAATTTTAACCTATCAATACCAAGTTGGGACACCAAGTGTACTTACCCTAATACCACTACATAATTTTTTAAAAATATGACATACTCATGCAATATGATTTGAAATAATACAAAAACGTGTGAAGTGACTTTTATAATCTCTGACGTCCATCAATTGTGGCGAACAGCTTGAAAGAGGTTAATTAAAAAAATTATAAATTTAAATTTTAAAAAGTTTGGTAATGTTTATATTTATATTTTTGAAAAAATTATCCATAAATTTCATATGGAGAAATTATATCCATTTAATTTTAAGAATTTTCTTATAAACCATTTAGTTTAATTTATTTCGGGAAAGATAGATTTAATAGTTTTAGTGTCATTTGAGTTTACTATAATACCCATTTTGATTTAATTACTTTCCCTATTTTTCGTTTTTTGGTTGGTTCAAAGTATTATTTTGTAGGATTGCACTTTCTCTTTTCTCTCTACTTTTTGTACATCTTTTCGTAATTAGTCAAAAAGTCATCCCAAACATACAAGTTTTTTTTACCTATTTTTTTAGCCAAATAGACAAAAAATTACTAAATTAGCCTGTTCCCAAACGAGTGTCATTTGAGTTTACTATAATACCCATTTTGATTTAATTACTTTCCCTATTTTTCGTTTTTTGGTTGGTTCAAAGTATTATTTTGTAGGATTGCACTGAGTGTGTTAGTAATGCCGTATTGGTAGATGCCTTATTTGTGACAATAAGAAAATGGCAACATGTAAGATTAATGTAACATTTGTTCACACACTTCACAACAATGTCATAAAATTCTGAAAATACCATATGCTTCACAAAATACCATAAACTTCACATAACAAAAAATGTTAAGCCTGTTGACCTCCTCACAGAATACCATTGTACGGGAAAAAAAATAAACCTTCTCGTGTAATCTTGTTGATCAAGTCTGCGCTCCTCCGTATGTCGTTGCTTTACTCCCTGAAAACACAAATGTGAGCTAGCCGGCGGGTGTGTGCCGGATACCTCTCCGATGCCTAAGTCAGCAACATAGACAAATAGACAAAAAACTCTGTGTATTCGAGAAACAAAGTTGTGTGTTACCTCTCTATAGGTGATGTTTGTGAGCTTTTATAGATTCCGTGTGGCACAATCTTAGTAGGACTCTTACTCCTCCATGTAGAGTCCTCCTTGGATTCACATTCCTGAAAGATAATGCTTATCCTTCAACACCCCCCTCACTACTTAAACCAAGTGAGCTGGTTTTTCCATGGTCGGACTCCAATATGACCGAGGTAAGCATAGCTATGCTAAGCCGCAGACTAGACCGAGATAACTCTACTTCGGTTCTTCCGCTTCCAATGCTGACCATAGTATTGTTAAGTCCGTGCTAACCATTAGCTAGGTCCGACAGAGCTAGCTGCGCTATACCGTAACCGGACTAACTCTGAGTGTGGCATCCTGGCGACCGAGCTATCCGTAGCGCTCTCCTGGACCGAGATAACAATAAGCTTTCTGGGTCCAGATTAACTTTAGGGCTGTCTGGGACCGGACTATCTTCAAGGCTCTGGGACCGGACTAATCTTCAAGGCCTTTTTACTCTCCCCCCGTATTGTGGCCCATAACGGCCCATTGCCCAGCTCGGCCCAATTTATAAATATAAATTACCCTCTCAATTGCCCCTTAATTCCATCTGCGTAGCATGATAGGGATTACTTGTTTTACCAACCGAACCAAAAATTCTAGTCTGACGACCGAGCTAAAAACTCTTTTAGCCTTTTCAGCTGAACTAAATTCATGCCGGCTCTACCTGTCCAGTCAAAAACGTCTCTTCAATCACAACAACTGAATCACTTCTCATTCCAAGGACACGTGGCATGTTCTCATTGGTTGAAGGCAGCTGTCACGCCGTCTTCGTATCTCGCGAAATTTGAACAGTCTCGCCCTTTTTGTCCTTTCTTCTACACAAAACAAACTCTTTTATTTTGAATCTATCACTACACTATTCATCTCCTTCATTCTCTCTCTCTGTGCTTCTACTTCTTCAACCCCTGAGCTCGCTGAGTTCGTGTTCTTCACTGTCGTTGCTTCCATCTTCGATTTTTTCTACCGTAATCTAGTAAGTAACTCAACCTTCTAACTCCTTTTGGTTGATTTCACACCCTCTTTGCAATACGTTACATGTTTTTCAAAACACACTGTCTGCTTCCATTTTCTGCTTAGCTCTGTGTTTTCTGCAAACACTTAGTAATAGAACCACTTGGATTCAAGAAATAATATGAGAAACACTAGTTTTGATCCAAAATCATAATATAACCGAACTAGGAAGTTGTTTGTAGTGGATGTTAATCTAGACAGGCTACCGGACTAGCACTTCATGCTGAACTAGTAGTTTCACCAAGTCAAACCACCTTTTGCTTCATTTGATTTAGCCGAGCTATCGATCCGTACTAGGTTTGCGCAATAGTATGCCTGAAAGTCTAAACCACGACCGAACTACAACTTGGGGCTAAACCAGCCTTCTTAGCTCTGATCGAACTAAGAATGATGCCCCTAGAGGCTCAGACGGACTAACAAATCCCTTTCTAAAACCGAGTTAAAAGACGCCTTGCCCAAACCTAAGCTTAAGACACGAAGCACTTCACATAACCGAGCTAGGACTTCATTTATCTTGCCTGTGTTTCTTTTAGCACGGTCCCACGATCTGTGCTTAATACCTCTGTTTTTCACTTTACAGACTTAGGTTGCCCAGGCACTCCTTTGAGCGCTCAACCGAGCTACTCAGCACCATTCTCCGACCGGGCTAACACCCACGTATAATTTATTCATAATTTAAACCACAAATGCGAAAGTATAGGTTTTTAGTTAACTCCCCTGGTGCAATAGTTGAATTTCACAAGGACTTCCAAATCCCAGATGATGTCCACCTTTCACTGGCCAAGCTAGACACCATCCCCTGGGGAAAACATGGTTTTATCCTCTTTAACGTTATTTCAATCGTAGAGTGCGGTCTG